AGACTATGCAGGACACACCAGCGCACACAGCCAGGTCACTGCAGCTGGGCTGCAGGACTGTGGCCGGTGGTCCTGCCAGGCTGCCTAACTCCCCCCCCACCCCCCCGCGGAAAGAGAGGGTACTAGGAGCTGTTCTGGGAGAACTAGAAGTTGGGACCACCAGACTCCTAGGGCTTAGGACTCTTGGCAAAGATCTGGGGAAAAGTCAATATGTTATTAATACAGGCAAACGGCCTGGAGAGTGGTGAATGCTCTACAAAGGGCAGCGATCAATACTGAGAGATGGGATTGCACAGGGTAGAGATGCGGTGCTCAGGGCATCGCCTACCCCATCACAGAGGACTCGCTCGCTCTTAGGGTTTTCCAGGGTCGGCATGCCTCTGTGCGGGTCTCAGCCTGGTTCCTCAGCACGGACATCCTCTGTGCCCTCCTGGGCTCGTGTACCTCTCCTTGGCGTGAGGGGTTGTCCACGTGTTGTGTGTTTTTGTGTCCATGTCTGTATAAGCTGTCTTCCCAGCTGACTTACACAGTGGCTGTGTGTACAGACCGAGCATCTCTTCTCCAAGTGCTTGGGGCCAGGAGTGTTTCAGAGTTGGAAATATCCGCCTGCTTTACTCGTTGAGAATCCCTAATCCACAAACTGAAATGTTCCAAAGTCTGAAGCTTTCTGAGGGCTATGTCAGGACTTAGGGGTGCTCCTCCTGTAGTCCTTCTTGGTGATCACCTCTTATGGCCAACGCCACCCTTTCCTTCCTGCTCAGCAGAAATGGTGCAGTGATCTTAACTAGGTCTCCTTTGCAGCTGGTCGGGTGTTGGACTCTACCAGCAGGAGGAACCAGGGGGACACTGCAGGAGAACCCGGCTTCTCTCCCTTGTCGGCTTTTGTCTGTGGGCTGCTACTGCCCCTGTCTCCCAGTTGATCCCAGGTGGTGGGTGCGGGTACATCCAGCAGTGCTCTTCACGGTCAGCTTTCAGGGGCATCCCTTTGGATGGCTTCCCCGCCTGGCCTGGATGTCACCCTCTCTACCTCGTCCTGCTTGCACTGCCTTCTCCCTGTCAAGGTCTGTGAAGAGCTTTGTCCCCGCAGACTTCCCCATCACCCACTGGGCCACCCGCAGGCCTGCGGCAGCGTGGATTGAATCCCAGCCTACAGGACGGTGGCTCTCCCCAAGTTTGTTCCTTCTTTGGGGATCTCAAGTTCCTCAGTGTTCTTCTGAGCGATCTTTCTCCTTTACAAGGCTCACCTGTTATGACTAATAATTCCTTGCATTAAACTTTCCATATTTAAAGTAGAAAGAAAAACAATTGGCTGGGCAAGTTGTTGAACTTTTTTGTTCCCTGGTTGCTTCGTCTAAAAAAACAGGCTTAATTCCCACGTCTTGGAGCTGTTTGAGAAGAAAGGTGTCATCTGACCAGTGATAAGCGTCTAGCCCGGCATCCAGCTCTGAGTGGGAGCCGGGAAGCTTGGATGTTTTGCTATCACTTGTCCGTCTATGTATTAATTTCCTGTGGCTGGTGGTTTAACACAACTCGTACTTATGCTCGTACAGTTCTAGAACCTAGAAGTGAAGAGACCAAGGTGTCTGGAGAGCCACACTCCGTGTAAAGAAACAAGAGAGAGAATCCATTCCGTGCCTCTCCCCTTCCTGGGCTGCCTTGGGGCTGACTCCCTCTGGTCTCTGCCTGTCTTCACATGACCTTTCCTCCTCTGTCTGTGGCTAAAGCTGGAGAAGAAGCCAGGGGCCTGATAGAGTCCCTCAGGTCACATCCCCATGACCCACCCAGGCACATTAGAAGTGCACTGCATTAATCCCCCAGGTGTCTGTCAGGCCAGGTTGACAAACAGGAGTGACGACTACCGCCCCCCTATAAGGACCCTTGGGACTGCACTGAGGGTTCAGACATAACCAGAGATCATCTCTTCATCTCAGAGTCCTTACCGTCATCACATCTACAAAGAATTTGCTCCTTCTGAAGGAACATCCACAGGTTCCATGGATTCAGACCTGACGTCCTTGGGGGTCACTATGCAGCCCAGCCCCATCCTCTGTTCCTCTGTTCACCTGCCCCATGCGCAGGAGGCTGACCTCTGCTGACCGCCAGCAAGCGCTCTTGTCCCTCAGGCTCGAGGTGGGCTTGCCAAGGGGCAGTGCTGGACAGCAGCTGCAGGGCGGCGCTCCTCCCTGCCTGCCGCCTACCTCGCTTCTGGCTGCTTTGCTCTGACAGCAGCCGGGAGGCCCCTCTCTGGGGTCCACGGCAGCCGCAGAGCTTCAGCTACCTCGTTTCTCCCTCGTGTTCCTCCAGGATCCTCCGCTCCTGTTGCTGGTACCAGGAGCCTCCCGTCCTTGCAGGCAGTCCCCGCCGTACAGTGGCTAGACTTATGATTTCTGACTTTACGATGGTGTGAAAACGACATGTATGTGGTAGAAGCCGTGCCTCAGATTTTGAATCCGGGTCTTTGGCCAGGCTAGGCGGATGCTGTGTGATACTCTCTCATGATGCTGGGCAGCGGTCACAAAGGTCAATGACCAGTGCCCTATGGGTGTTGCTCAGCTGTGCTGGTCAGGAGTTTTGTGCTGAATGCGCTTTCAGTTTACCATATCTGCTCCTTGCAGTGGGTTTCTTTATTTTTTTTTTTTTTTGGTTTTTCTCCGGTACCGGGAACCGAACTCACGACCTTGTGCTTGCCAGGCAGGCGCTTTTGCCGCTGAGCTAAATCCCCAGCCCCTTGCAGTGGGTTTCTTGTGATGTGATTTCACTGTTGGTGGAGGAGCTTCTGTAAATGGCGCCTTTCTCTTAGAAGGTCTGCTTCAGGAACCCCACTGCCAGGGGCTGGCTCTTCCCTGCCTGGCTCTCCTGACCCAGAGTTATCACTGGCCTCAGTCACTCTTCCCTCAGGGCTCTCCTTTGTACTAGGGGCTTTATAAGGACAGAAACTCGGCAACCACAATGCTTAGAAGGCTCCTGGTGTGGAGAGATGAAAGATACTCAACTTCACATCAAATAAGTGAAATAAAAAAATCTCAGAAGCCTGCCGGGTAACTGTGGTGCCTATAATCCAAGCACTCTGGGTGGCTGAGGCAGGAGGGTGGCAAGTTCAAGCCAAGATTGGGTGACTTAGCAACTTAGCAAGACCCTGTCTCAAAATTACAGAAGAACTGGGGATGTAGCTCAGAGCGAAGGTCCTGGGTTCAACATAGAGTGGGTTCCGGGCTTCTGAGAAGCATCAGGACACAGAGCGCTGTGAGAAATGACTGAAGAAGTCAGATTCCTCCGCCCCTGGGCTCCTCAGCCTTGATGCTGGGGGATCTTGGGCTGGGGGATGCTGTGGGGCTGCCTGGATGCTGTAGGTGTTGAGCAGCGTCCCGTCCTTCACCTACTATGTGTTAGGACCTTTTTTCCTGCAGTGGTGACAGCCAGCAGCATCCCCTATAAGGGGCCAGGAAGTTTAACCTGTTCTGAAAGGAGCACAGAACCAGGATCAGTCATTGGCCCTGGGGAGGGACACTGAGGCAGGAATCTGGCTTTTTCATCTTATTTCCTTCCATCAATTGTTCATGTGAAACCTCTCACGGGACATGGTGGCACGTATCTGTAAACCCAACACTCTGGGAGCCTGAGGCAGGAGGGTCTCAAGCTTGTGCCCAGTGTGGGCAAATTAGTGACTTAGCAAGCCCTTGTCTCCAAGAAATAAAATACAATAAAATAATAAAATAAAAGAGTTGAGTATGGAAGTCTGTGCGAAGGCCCTGGGTTCCATCCGCGGTACCAAAACAGTGAAGAAAAGCTCTCAAAAATAGTTGGGAGGTGAAACAAGTTGGGAGGTGAATGGCTGTTGGAAGCGAGGGTCCCACACCACGTGTGTTCTCAGTGGTCCCTGCTGGGTCCGGGGAGCACCCCGGCGTCCTGGAGAAGTCTCCCAGCGGCTCTGTGAGCCCCTCCTCTTCCGCCACCTCGGACGGCTCTTCACCACCTGGGTCTGCCATGGTCACCCGGGCCAAGCGAGGAGGCTGTGTTTCCACATCGCCCCCTCCCCGCCACGCACGCCTGCGTTGGAGTCCGTGGTGGGCTTCTCGCCTGCTCCATGTCTTTCTCTGCCGGAGCGTGGCTCTAAACCCCCAGGTGGCAGGGGCCGTGCCTGTCCTACTCGGGGCTCTGGGCCCAGGCCTGGCACACAGCTGGCCGTCAGTGTATTCGTGAATGAACAACTCTCCTTTCACTGACCTCCCTTGCCCTTCTTCACAAACTCGGCTCCCCAGCCCTCCGGCCCCAGGACCAGGTCAGCCTCGGTGCCCGCTTGGAGACACGCCTTCCTCCTTGGGTCTCGTCCTCGGCGCTGTGCGCATGCACAGAGAGGTGGGGCGCCGTGGGCTGGGGAGAGGCGTCTCCACTCATGCCCGCAGGTGTCCCCTGTCCCCGCCGAACCTCGTGGCCCTGCTCTCCAGGATGTTTGCGGGTGGCGGCCGCGTCGCAGGGTTGGGAGGACCCAGGGGCGTGCAGGCTGGTTCTGAGCCTCCACTCAGAGAGCCAGAGCCCCGGACATGCGAGCCCACACCCAAAGAGGCGTCGCCCTGAAGGCATGTTGTCGAAGTGGCTGACATCCCTCATCAACCGGCTCTCCTGTATATATTTAAGGTGCACAACGTGATGTTTTGATACGCATTTACATACCGAAATGATTACTGCAGGCAAGCGAATGAACACATCGCTCGCCTGACATAGCCGTCTTTGTTGTTGTTGTCGTTGTCGTTCTAATCAGATGACTTAAGTGAAGGTGATTATCCGTAATACTGCAGGGGAGCCCCATTCCGGCAGTGGAGAGGCCTTGGGAGAAGGGAATCCCCCCTGGGGACCACAGCCCGCCCCCCACCCGCCCTGTGGGTTTCAGACCTGCAGACTTAGTCCCAGCTGCTGCAACAAAGCAGAGACTCGGGGCTTACAAGCAACTGACATTTATTTCTCACAATTCTGTTTTTCATTTGCTTATTTGTTTTCTGAGGCAGGTCTTGCTGTGTAACGTAGGCTGGATTTGAACTCCCACGGGAGTTCCTCCTGCCTCAGCCTCCTGGATGTTGGGGTCACAGGCGGGCGCCGCCCCTCCTGGAGACTAGAACGCCCAGCTCAAGGAGCCGGCAGGTCTGTGTCTGGTGAGAGCTGCTTCTGCTTGGCAGAGGGCGTCTTCCGCCTGCGTCCTCAGACAGCAGAAGGGGAGGACTGCGGCTTTGCAGGGCATTCATCCCACTCCTGAAGGCTCTGAGCCCCTGACCTCACCACCTCCCAAACACCCCGGGTCCGACATACGAACTGGGGGGAGGACACACAGACCCTCGCACCCGCCCCCAGACCCTCACAACTGCACCAGCCCCTCTGCAAAGACTCTGATCATGAACTTGTTTCTGTGGTGGACCTGGACAGGTCAGAGTGGGAGGACCACGTCATGTGCCCTGAGCACGGTGGCCCCGACGGAGGGCTCGGAGACCATAGCTGCGGTTCCAGTGCCCCCCACAGCATGGGAGCTGCGGAATGACCACAGTCCTCTTCACCTTGGGGCGGGCGGGGTCTGTTCTGCTCCTGCTTTGCAGAGGAAGCTGGGGTGGGGGACATCACTGTCCGACACTTGGCAGGAGCTGAGGCCCAAATCTGGTGGCCCAGCTCCAGCACCATGAGGCCGACCACAAAGGTTGCCACTCCCAGGCCGCCCTGCAGTGACCCGAGGGAGGGTCCCCACTGGGGAAGAGGCCAGAGGCGGCAGCCGTCCCCAGGCCCAGCAGGTGGGGCACACTAGGGACGAGCCTGTGTGAGTGGGGCTGAGATAGAGACAGGCTTCAGGGTGGAGTGGGAGGCGCAGCCTGGACCTGCTTCTCCCGGCTGGACAAAGCCCTGCCTGTCGTCCACCTTCCTGTCTCTGTTAGGGAGAGCCATCAATGTCCAGTGGCCGCGGCTTGCAGGACAGGGCAGGGGCACCTGGATCCAGCTTTGCCCCTCGGGCTGAGACCCTGGGAAGGACTCCAGCTGGTGGATGTCAGCTCCCTCATGGGTGGGGACGGGCGATGTCTTGGGGGTGACCTTAGGTGTCACCTTGGGCCTGATCTTCCTGCTCCGTAACTTGGGCATAAGAGCCCCTCCCCCAGGCTACGGGCTGTGGAGGAGTGGATGAACGCGCTTGGTCCCGGCAGGGTCATGCAGGCTGTGCCTCCTACGGGGGCGGGGGCCAGCGGCCCCACCCCGCCCCCCTGGATAAACGTGTCCTAGTTTAGACAGGAATTGGCCCGTCTCAGCTCTGCATCCTCAGTGTGCCGAGTGTGGAGTGTGGAACCTGGGCTGCGGCGAAATGGGAGCTAAAGGACTGAATGAATGTGGGGAGGGAGGGGAGGACAGAGGGACATTTGCACACACATAGGGGAATACTACACAGCCTTAAACAGGAAGGGATCTTGCTGTGTGTGGCAACATGGGTGGACCTGGAGGCCGCTATGTGACATGGAATAAGCATATATGGAAAGATAAATACTGCTCGATTCACTTACATGTGGCAGCCTTGCCACACACAAGGGGTGGCCCATCTGGCTCCCTGTTGTCAGCCTGGCACTGCCCGGGCCAAACCCTCCTCCCCCAATGCCATGCAGGAAGTGACAACCCAGAGTCCCCATGTCCAGGACCTCGGCCTGGCTCCGTCTTGTGCCCCAGCCCAGGGCGGGGTCTGTGGGCATCCAGGGAGGGCAGCTTGGCGAGCAAGCGGTGAGAGGCAGGTGGCTCTCCACATCCAGAGTCAGCAGTGGTGCGGTCCCCACGAGTCTGATGGACCCAGGCTGCAAGCCACGCACGCTTCATGCAAGCCACGCACACTGCAAGCCATGTGGTGGTCACGTGCCTGCACCCTTCCCTCGCTGTCCAGGGCCCTGGGTGGTGGGAGACACAGAATTGGGAGACAATAAATTTCCAGGTGTTGAGCGCTGCCCGACCACGGGGCTTTGCCATGGTCGCACCGCAGACAGTGAAGCCCTCTCTGGAATTTACTGCCCTCTCTCCCAGCCTGGCAGGAGCTGCGGAGTCCAAGCAGGGCTCCCCTGCAGGACAGAGATGGGGGACGCCCTGCAGCGTCCTTACCATGGGCAATTTGCAACCTCCGCGAAGAGCAGGTAAAGCAGGCAGACACCCAGGGAGAAGGAGCTCGCCTGCTGCAAGCACAGACTGTGAGCTTCTGGGGGGAGTGAGCCTCTGGCTTCCAGGGCCAAGGCTGATTGTATGGGGCTGAGAATCTCTATTCTTTTCTTTTCTCTCTTTTGAAGTACTGGAGACTGAACCCAGGGCCTTCGCACTGAGCTACATCCCAAGTCCCTTTTTGTATTTTGACACAGGGCCTTGCTAAGTGACTGAATTGCCCAACCTGGGCTCCAACCTTTGATCTTCCTGCCTCAGCCTCCCAAAGTGCTGGGATGACAGATCTAGCACCACCGCGCCAGAGGTGGGATCTCCATTCTTACAGAGTGCCTCCCCCTCCGCCAGCTGGCGGTCCTGCCGCTGCTCTGCTCCCCACCCCCGTCCCGGGACTCACCTCTATCTCCTGCCCGCTGGGCTGCAGCTTCAGATTCTCCGGCCCCGCTGGCTCCTCCTGCGGCTCTGGTTTCTTGAGGGTCTGGGCTGCTTTGGCCTTGAGAATCTGCCTTTCTTCCCACCACTTAAACAGCTTCATTCTAAGATGAGTGCTGTGCTCAGTCCAGGCCCCACCCAGTCCCCGTCCTCCCTCCCATCCAGAGGCAGCCCCAGCCGGCCCCAGGGCACTGGGCTCCCCGCACTTGCTGGTTCTGGAGTCAGCACCCCCTCACCCCATCTGACAGGGACAGAGCACAAACCCACACTGTGGGTTCCCGGCCTCTTTCTTGGCTCCCCGTTCATCCCACACCTGCCCAACCTCAGAGCTGGCCTGGCTGCTCCCCTGCTCACAGCCTCCCGTGGGTCCCCGTGAGCCCCGGGCAGAGCCCAGCCCGAGCCTTGCCTGTGCTCCTCTGCAACCCTGTCACGTCTCCACATGTCCACTTTTTGTCTGTGGACGGGTCTTTCTCTCTTTTCTTTTCTGATTTTTGGCACTTGGGATTGAACCCAAGGCCTTTGCACTGAGCTACATCCCCAGCACTTTTTGTGTTTTATTTTGAGGCAGGGTCTGAAACACCAGGGCTAAGATGCCCAGGCTGGACTCAAACTTGTGATCCTCCTGCCTCAACCTCCTAGAGTGCTGGGATTACAGGTGTGGGCCACCACGCCCAATCAAGACGGATCTTTTTTGGCACCTTTCTTCTTTCTGTTAAAATTTCCAGCATATGCCTCTATAGCACTACACAGGGAGCTTCTGCTTTTTGACAGCTGTATAGTACACCGTTACACAGAGGAACTACGGAGACAGAATCAGTCCCTTCCTCTCTCACTCTGGCAGCTGCAGAGGCCTGCTCGCTGGTCCCCAGTGCAGCTCTGTTCTTCTGTCACGTGTCCCCTACAGAGCAGCAGAGCCAGCTTTACAGACGTGCGCCTGAGCCCGTCCTTCCTCAGAGGAGCAGCCTGCCAGGGCTTCTGTCTGCACTGAGAGAACTAGGATTCAGACTTTCACTTCCTGTCAGAAACCCTCTGTCTATAAAAATGCCCGGAGATGCGGACGCACACACCACCGAGAGACTGGGCTGGAGTCGGAAGGAAATAAAGAAGAGCTGAAAGTCAGGTGGTAGAACAGGGCCCGCGCTCTTCCCTGGGCTCAAGCGGGGTGTATGTGGTGTTATAGCAACCACGCAGCTCGCTTTAAACACCCTGGACACAAAAGGCAAGGCATAAGGCTAAACTGGCAGAATTTCAAGAAGAGAAACACCATTCTACAAGCACTGAGAATATTTCAAAATATCTGTCTTTCTTTAGAGCAAGCAGGAAAATAAATCAGTACAAAGAAGAGAGATTTAGACAACATGATGAATGAATTTGATTTAAGAATATATATATTCTCACATATATATGTCTCACTACCTTCACAAGTATAGAATACAGTGTTTTTAAATTCCTCATGAAATATTTATAAAAATTCAGCAACTTGCTACAAAGAAAATAAGAAATTGAAATTATGTCTGGTATATTTTCTGATTTTATGAAATTAAGCTAGGATTTAAAAAGATTATTAGAAAATCTTTATGTATCTAAAACACAAGAGGTCAAAAAAATCATAACGGAGGTTAGAACTTTTTTTTTGGTACCAGGAATCGAACTCAAGACCTTGCACTTGCCAGGCAGCTGCTTGTACCTCTGAGCTATATCCCCGGCCCCAAACTATTATAACCAAATGCTATAAAGATAATCTGTATCAGCATCCATGAGATGCACTCACAGCCATGTTCACAGCAGCACAACTTGTAGTAGCTAGATCATGGAAGTTGCTCATCTGTCCATCAACAGATGAATGGATAAAGAAAATGTGCTATTTATACACAGCGGAGTACTACTTTGCCATAAAAAAGATAAATCGAGTCATTTGTGGGAAAATGGATTCATCTTAAGAGCATAATATTAAGCGAAACAAACCGGACACATAGTGTAAATATCATATGATTTCTCTTATATAAGAAACCCAAATATAGATAAAGACCAAATAAAAGATAGATAATAAGGAATATGAAAGTAGATTTTTCACAGAAGGGAAGGGGGACTGGGAGACGGAGGGAGGGGAAAGGGATGAAAAAAGAATTAAGCTGTATTATGTGCTTATACCAGCTCCTCATGAGGCATGTAATCATAATGCACTGCAAACGTAGACTAATAAAAAGCTGTGCTTCGAGGGAAACTTATAGCCTTACGTGCAAATAAAGAAGGGGCTGAAAGTCAGTGACATGCGTCCATGTCAAGAGGGTGGACAAAGCTCCATAAAGAGGAAGAAAGGAAGGAATGGATGACGTCACTGAACGGGGTAGGGTCGTGGGGGGGGGGCTGGTGACAACTGGGATGCTCACCCCAGGAGGACGAGGAAGAGGAGCAGCAAGGCGGCCGCGACGGCCCCGTACACCAGGCCCTGGATCAGCCCTTTCAGGAACACACCGGAAATGGAGTTCTGATCTGCAATCAGAGGGGATGAGAGCGCTTTTCTCCCAGGGCTTTCATCTGAGCCGCAGCTCTGCTCCCCTTCTGCCCGTGCCCAGCCTCACCCTGGCCCCTAGGTGTTGCCTTCTGGCCCAGTCGCCAGGCCCCTGTGCCCTCACCTGGTATCAGGAAGACACCGGAAGTGTGGGTTCCATACTGGTTCTTGCCCTCACAGTGAAGTCTGGTGACTACTTCTGGCTCCCCCACCAGGCGGATGGTGCTGTTGGCCCACGGGGCAAGCGTGGTGAAAGTCACCTGGAGGATGTTGCCCACGGGGTTCACATCCACAGGGGCACCTCCCATCCACCACTGCACGGTGGGAGTGGGGACTCCGTGGAAGGCGCAGCTGCACCGCAATGTCTTCTCCAAGGAGCAAGAGGAGCTGAGCAGCCTGGCGGGTGCTGTGGAGAGGGAGCTCAGGAGTCAGGAAGGAATCTGACTTCCCTTCCCTTCCTCCGAGGCCCAACCTTTTCCTCATTTGTGATAAACAAGGAGCCTCTGAGAACTTTCTGGAAGCCCTGGGTGAGCAGGGCAGGGATTCAGAGAAATTGCCTCATCATCTTCTCATCTGCCCCAGAATTTGGCTCTGCCCTCACGTCCAGGGACCGTAGGGGAGACGGGATGTTCCCCTCTAGAGCCAGATCATTGCCTTGGGCCCACTGTTCCCCTCAAGACTGCAGACCCTGCTCATGCCCACCAGCACTCACAGAACACTTGTTGCTTGACCTTGCCACCTCTGGTCAAGTTATCCAGGGAGAAGTTCAAGGCATCGCCAAGGGTGGTCCTGGGCTCCTCCGGTTTCAGGGCAGAGTGCAGCTTCACGGAGGAGGAGTCCCTGGAGACAGCTGTGTTGGAGGACATGGCAGACTCCTTTGGGAGAAGAGGGGTTTCTTTGCAGGTGACTTGAGTGTTACAGATTCCCCAGCCATGAGGACTCTGGGATGTAGAGCTCCGGTTGGGGGTCAGGTCTGGAGGAGAGAGAGAGTGCAGCACCCTTTAGGGATAAGGGACCTTCTCAGATTGGCCACCCAGTGTTTCCATTTGGAACCCCGCTCCTCTCCACCTTCCCAACACGTTATGGAACCAGGATGGTTACTGTTGGGTGGTTTTCCACAGACTTCTCTTTTTGTGTGCTGTTTTTGTGTTTTCTCTCTCCAACCTAACTCACTCCTTAGGCTGCAGTTCTTCCCAGCCAGATCTGTGCTCGTCCTTATACCCCTTCCTGCAGGCTGTAGGGCAAAGTCACGTTCCCTCTTCCTGCCAGTTCTATTTGGAAAAATGAAGTAACCTGCTGTGCCTATCTATTACTACTGTATGTATTAAAGACCTAATGTTTTATTAAGCCCAATGACTGGTGAAGTAAAAACCACACAATTACCAGAACCCCCTCTGGATTTCCTTCTTTCCTAGCTACTTACTGCATGAGGCTGAACATCGCCCAGCACAGAGAGTATGGTATTCTCCCTTAGGAAAAACACTTTTTTGTTTTCCTACATTTGCATAGAATAAGTATGTCATGCTGTCCCTTGGAGTATATTGTGGATCAGCAGAGTGCAGTCTTGTTCCTCAAGGTTCCCAATAATGAAATCTGTTTTTAATGTTATCTATGGTAGCAATGGGCTTATTTGTAGCTACGAAGAAACTGGTGTTTTCATTGAGCCTTTAGCACAAGACCATGGACTTGCTTGGGGATTCTTAGGGGAATTCAAATATGTAAGGATTGTGTTGCACAACCCTTCCTATACTGGTATCTTCTTGCCTTCCATCAAAACATGAGAAAGCAACTCTGTGAGTAGAGATCTAACACGAAAACCAGACTCACTTGGCATCCTCAGTATCCCACTTATGCATTAAAGGATTAATATTACCCAGGAAAGGCTTGGCATTTGCCCAGCTCCTGGGAGATAACCTCTAAGCCTTTGGAATGTCCTTCCTGATAAGAGAGTCTGTGCTTACCTGGAGCACTGGATCACACCAGACAGTCTAAGCTAAAGATGTGATTTATGGTGAGGGCCTTTGGCCACATGGTATCAACTTCACCTCTGGAGGGGTTGGAGACTAAGGTCAGCCATGCCTGTGTGACCAGACCCCCAATGAAAACCTTGAAGGCTTCCTGAGTGTCCCTGCTTGGCAGTACTCTACATAACCATATGTGGCTTTTGAAATAATAAAACACTGTGTGCATGACTCCACTAAGAAAGGACTCCACCAGAAAAGGACAGTTACAGACTTGCACTGGTCCCTCCTGAACCCAGACCCCATGTGCCTCTTCTCTTCTCTGATTTTAATTTGTATTCTCTTACTCTAATCACTGTAGTCCTGAGTAGAATAGCTCCACTGAGTTCTGTGAGTGGTCTGGGGACTCCCACACGGCACCTCCCATCCGCATCTGGTCCGCTAGGTTTGCTGTGCCCTTGTTATCGCTATTGATTGTATCTTCTGACCTTCACCATGTCACATCGTTTCTGAGTCTCAGAAATGGTTACGTCAATGCCAATACCGCAGTGGAGTGAGAACTACAGAGGCACGTGGAGCCTTATAATAATGATTCATAACTGTAACTTAGCCATTGGATTTTTGTGGACAGTTACCCCTTCCCCATTTCCTAGGCTAAGTGCTCGCACATGTATAAGAGGGATGGGCTGGTAAAGTACATGGATGCTGAGGCCACTTCTACTGATATCCTAAAATGATGGTAGCAGTACTAACCTGAATGAGATTTTTTGTTGTTGTTGCATATCTCCCTGTACCTTTATAGATCTCTGCTTAAAACCATTTCCATAATGGTTTTATTAATGCTCCCTAGACATAGAGGGAAATTGAGACCCTCTGAGGTTAAAGTTGTGGCTTCAGGTCATAGATACAGCAATAGCAGCATCAGGTCTAGACTTCAGTTTATCTCGCTCTGCATCGGTTCCCCAGGTTGTCACATCCGGGGATTGTCACATTCGGGGATCGTCACATCCGGGGATCTCAATACACTCTTTTCCGAGCCGCCATGCTGTGCCTTTTCTCTAAGTTGTGGTTCACTAACACCCACCACACAGGTGAGGAGGGTGACAGCAGGTGAAGATACACATCATTTAAGTCCTAGAGCAGCAAGGGTTCAATATCAAAACAGATCCAGGAGTCAGAAGAGTCGGCCACCACTTCTAGTGACTTTGGGCAGGTTCCCTAACCTCTCACAGCCTGTTTCCTCATCTGTGAAATGGAGATAATAATTTCTTGGGGAAGTTGTTGAGTAGATGAAATAGGGCACATGGTGGGCCATAATGCCGGTCACAGACTGTGCATACAGAAGACGTTTCATTATTATCCGTTGCCTTGCCTTCAACGGTCTCCGAGACTCTGCCCTACATCCGCACCATCTCCACTGACCTCTTCCCATGCCGCCATCATTCTTTCCAAGCCAGAGCAGAAAATGCTCTTTCCATCCGTTCTACACACATCCCTACCTCTGCATGTGAACTTGCTTCTTTATCCCATTCTGTAATTTCTTCATCTCCCTACATTCCAAGCCAACCTCTGTTCACATCTAGGTCAAATGTAACTTCCCCCTGGAAGCTTCTCCCTGGATCTGTACAAGCTGGACCCCAGATACTCTTCACCCCATCCGATATTGCATCTTGGGAAATGTCTCAGGCAGATCCTGAGAGTGACTTACTAGAAATCCATCTTCTGCTTCCTCTGAATTATTTCAGGTTTGTTTAGGCAGTACAGCCTCAAGTTTGAAAACAAAATCTGTAAAACTAATCTCTCTTTTCCCACCTCTTTACATTTAGGGGTGGTCACATGACACAGTTCTGTCAGTGAGTCAGTAGAAGACAAATGCTATAAAGTGATTACCAGTAAACGAAAACCTACTCAGCTCCCTGTTGCCATTACAGTTGGCCTTATTTTTGCATATAATACTAATTACTAAAATCCCAGAGCCTTGTTTAAAAAACTCAAGTTTTCCTAAGAAAGTAAATCAATTTCCGAGGGAGTTGAAGATGCTCTTTCCCTTGCAGTAATAAACCCACACGTCTTGTTGGGTGTTATAAAATGGCTCAAGGAATTGAATTTGATACTGGGCAAAACTGAGAATGTTTATAAGAATACCAGTTGTGTTACCCTCTGTAGTGGTTTTTCTATGAATATTCATGACTGTGACTGACTTGTTCTAGTGTTTGTTAATATAAATCTGCCCTTGGAAGAATAATTTGAACAAAGTGGTCTTATGAGACAAGACATAAGAAATGAGTCCATGTCTTATGAAAATGTTCTCCAAATAAAAAGGCTGCGTTGTCTTCCTCGATGATTTCTTGCTCTGGTAACTTGAATACCGTAACCGACGTCTCTGTTTTCCTAACTCGTATACTCGTCTGTAGGATTGCACTCTTCTCTTCTTCCACATGAACCACTGAAAACTAAAATCCTTGACTCTGCTAGATTTATCAGGAAGCAAATATTCTCAGAGACGTGGTTTACTTAAAACACTAAAATAAAAGACTATTTCCTGGAGATTGTAGGGAGTTATTTTCTAATATCAGCATCACCACTTTTTCCTTGTCGCTTTCCTCTTCTTCCCTGAGGCAGGGATGCGATGCTGCAGATGGAGGAGCCATCTGGCAACCAGGAGGATAAGAGCCAGAGACTCAAGAATGTTGATCATAACAGCATGGAGAGCCTGGTCTCCTGATGGCCTCATGGAGCACTAGTTGGGAAACTTAGGAAATAACTTGCCAGTGAATCGATCCTAGATTCTCTCTTCGAGGGGAAGACTTACGTTAAACATCCTTGTGTGTCCCCAACAGTGTGTAGATGGGTGGTAGTATGATAAATATCTGCTGGGAAAATAAACAAGTGCAATTTGGGATGAGCACTGGCCTGGGACTGGGATGCCTGGGTTTGGGTTTCGGCTGGTCATTGTGCCTGGTGCTGCTTGCTGGCTGGCTCAGTGGACGCTCCCAGCCATGTTACCCTTTGCTGGTGGCACCAGAGGGTCAGGAATAGCTGACAGGTGCTTTCTCGGCTAAGCTTGCAGCTTGAGGTGACAGCATGACCCAGTTCTGATCAGTGCGGTGCAAATGGAAGTTGGCTGAACTCAGAAAAAAAACTTAAAAATCATCCTTATTGAGATTAGAGTTTACATCCCATAAAAAGCATACATTTCTTGTATACAGTCCTAGGAATTTGAAGATGAATGCATGTATTTGATCAATACCCCTAGCGAGACGCAGAACACTTTCACCAACCTCTATTCTTGATAGCGTATAGTCATCCAGTGTTTTGTATATTGACTATTTCCACTGACAAACAATAAACTTACCCATTAATTTAAGAGTTTCTCTCTCCCTCTCCCTCCCTCTCTCTGTGTGTGTCTCTCCCTCCCCTCTCCACTCCCCTTGCAGATTCTTTGGGAATTTCAGTGTAGACAATTATGCTGTCTGTAAACAAACACAGTCTTATTTCTTCTTTTTGATCTTTTTTCCCTTGCCTTATTGACCTAGAGAGAGCCTGCTATTTAAAGCTGAATAGAAAGGTACCTGTATACATCCTTGCCCTGTTCCTGATGTCAGGAAGTGTTTTCATAGATACTCTTTATCAGCCTAAGACCTCTCTTACAGATTGATTTTCAAAAATTGTATCAAGCTGGGTGTGCTGGAGCATGCCTGTAATCCCAGTACATGGAAGGCTGAGACAGGAGGATTGCTGTGAGTTTGAGGCCAGCCTGGGCTACAAGGTGAGTTCAAGGCCAGCCTGAACTATACAGTGAGACCCTGTCTCAAAAAGACAAAAAATATTGAGTCAACCACACATTCCTGTGATAAACCCACATGATCATGCTATGCTGGAATTGTAGGAAAGTGGATGCAACGCAGGACCTTAATGTTACAGGAAATAAATCAGACACACAAGCATAAATATCCCATGGTTTCTCTTATAGGAGAGACCCAAAATATAAATAAAGAACAAAGTAAAAGGG